TTATCCCCGCGCACCCCGCTCCGCCTTCCGGAGGCCCGACGCCACTTCGGCCTCCTGAGGCGCGGGTCGGGGTCGGAAAGTGTTGGAAGCGCGACGGTGGCCGAGTTACCCTGCTGGGGTGGCCGCCGCCTCGCCCACTGACCCTCCAGACTTGCATAGGAACGAGGTCGGGGGAGGAGAGTCGAGGGGACCTGGACAAGTCCAATAATGTCCCCGCTCGGCCTGTGCTTTTGGAGAGCTTAGCGCAAGGGAGTTGTGCCTAAGTCTCACAGCCGCAGGCGCCTCGGGCTAGGTGTTTGCTTTCAAATGGGTCCTTGCTGCGTCTGTGCCTCGAAGCAAACACCGGAGGAAGGGAGAAGGAGGCCTTTTCCCCCTTCGGTATTGGGGATCAAACTCAGGACCTCAAACATTCGTGGCTCAAGTGCTCTACCGCTGAGCTGTGTCCCCCAGCCCAGTTTACGTAGTTTACAGTAAAGAATCACTGTCCCAGTTCGCGCCCAAATCCCCACGCGAACCCATCGAGAGACACTAGAGAAAATGACTTTCCCAGTCCATGGGAATGGTCCTGTGGTCGTGATTGGAGCGGCATCTGCTGGTAGCTTTCAGCATTTTACGTCAGCTTTCAGAATCCAAATTTGTCAGGCCATTCATTGTATTCTCCGGGTTTGGTTGTCTGAGACTCAATCCTAGAGAGGGATGGAAGGGCGGAGGGCTCCCGCAGAGAGCACCCTGAGGTTTAGGACCTGGAGAAGTAAGTTCTATCGGGGCTGCTCCTAAACACCCCAGCCAGTCCCTTTAGAAACTTTGGTGAACCTACTAGGAATTCTGTGTGGGAGAGTGTAAGGAGGACGTACCAAGTAAGGGCAGAAGACTTAGGGGAAGTTGGAAAATTGCCAGCATGGTGAAGCATGCTTTTATCAGACACTAGCCTTTATAAAATTAACTCCGTGTTGGGTGTGGTAGCCCACACCTGTGATCCCAGCACTTAAAGGCTGAGGTAAAAAGATTGCCGGGAGTTTTAGGCTAGCCTAAATTACAGATCGAGACTCTGTCCCAAAAAACCATAGGTAGGTAGGTAGATAGTCTTGTGATCTGATTTGATGGCCCGGAAATGAGGCTTTGATCCAGTATTTTAAGTGACTTTTTCCACCTGGAAGGTATTGCCTTCTCTAGAATACTGGTCCTGGTTTTATCTATTAAGAAAGCTAATGACCTTTACTGTTCTTTAAAATGACAAAATTAATACACCTGGAAAATACAGAAATGACTGAAGAGGGAATGGAGACACAAGATAATTACTGTGAATGTCTTTGTGTATTTCCTCCCAATCTGAACATTACCAAAAGCATTTTGTCATTTTCTGAAGTATTTTGCAGAATAGTTTTTGACTGCATACTCAATCATGTAAGTGGACCATATATATTCCATCTCTTATCGCTAAGTATGTAGGATTTTTGCCAGCTTTTTACTGGCACATACATCTAAGTACAGATACAATAGTTATCTTAAAAGAAAATGCTGTAAGTCGAGTTACTGAGACGCAGGACATATATAATCCAATGACTTTTTTTTTCAGTACTGGGCCTTTAAACTGAGCTATACCCACCCCCTTTTTTAAAAAATTAAGACAGGGTCTCTCTGAGTCAATAAATTGTACAGGCTGGTCTGGAACTTGCAATTTTCCTGCCTCAGCCTCCAGACTGTTAGGATTATAGGCACACATGACTTTTGATATGTTACTCAATTGCTTTCTGGAAAAGTTTTTCATTTGTATTCCTGTTACAGAAAATGGAACTGTTTTTCATGTTGTTCCTGATGTAGGATATGATTAACAAGACAAAAATATGACCAGCTTGGGACATGAAAAATGGCATCTAATTTGTTGTGGTTTATTAAAGTTAAATATTTTCATATATTTACTGGTCATGGAATTCTCTATGAATTAGCCACATCCCTTGTTTGTTTTGCTCCCAGGTGGCAGGGGGATGTCACTATAACTGAGTATATTGGCTTTATAGTGTAATGAGAGCCAGCTCTCCCAGGGCCTGTGAACTTTAGAGAGATGAACATCAGAGTTCTTGGTCTTCAGAGCCAAGGTACAGTAGTGAGTCCTCAACTTATGAAGAAGTTCTGCTCTGGGAGAATTGTTTGTAAGTTGTATTCATTCATAAGCCAACAAAGTAAGTCTTATGCAGTACAAGTATATCTGTGAAAGTTCACAACTCAAATGTTCATAGGTTGGGGACTTACTGTGTTAGAGCCTGGAGAAAGGGAAAATAAAAGCAAGGAATCTTTGAATCCACCAGTGTGCAGACTGTCACACTTGACTCTATTTGTTAACTCACCGAGAAAGAAGCTGATGAGTTGAGGTCACTGTTCCGGAGTAGACAAGCGTTGTACATTTTATTCAGCAGCAGCACCACTTCTTGAAGACTTTATGTCAGATCTGGGTGAGATTTCTTTTGGTATGTGTACACTATTTTGCTTAATCATCACCCAGGAGATACAAGATAGATACTTTCTACTTTCTACTGAAGTTTAGTGTTACGAAGCATCCCACATATTCTCATAAGGGCAGCAAATCGTAGGGCTGGGTTTTAAATACTAGTATAGTGATGCCAACCTTTTAGGCACTATTTCATTTGCCTGTATGTTATACTGCAGTGGGCTTGTTCCTAAAGGAAGAGGAGCAAGTCCATGTGGACATGGACACGTCTTCCAGTCTGTCCTTCCACAGAGCTGCACTGATGCCCCCTCTCCCTGGCCATGCACTACAGTACTCATGGAAACGTGACCCTTGGCATTGCCTGCTTAGATTTACCACACAGATGAGAGGGCAGTGGAAATGAGCCCTCATAGCTCCCTTTTGTGGTTTGGTGTGATGTCCATGCAAATTAGCTTCTCTGTTGACCCTGTGACTTTTTGTTTTTTAGATAAAAAATCTCAACCGTGGCTTTGCCAAACTGAAGGCACTTGTGCCATTTCTTCCCCAAAGCAGAAAGCCTAGCAAAGTTGATATCCTTAAAGGTGCAACTGAATACATACAAGTTCTCAATGATGTTTTGGAAGGATCCAAAGACTCAGAGGTAAAGGTTTAAGAATTTAGAAAAATGGTAGCATTTTTGAGCCTTTTCTATATGTGACGCACTGTGCCAAGTCATTTATTTATATATACTTTTCAGTTAATGGTTATAATAATCCTTAGATGTATTTATGATCCCCATTTGACAGAGGAGAAAACCAAAGAAAAAGTAAAGCCCTCACAGCAAAGAAGTGTCAGGACTGGAATTTGAAATCAAGACCCTGAGATTTGGAATCAAGACCCTGACCATCTAATTACTTACCTCCTGTCACTTTCCAGGGTGATAACTGCTGAATCTTTAATAGGATCTTGGGAGCTGGGACACAAAGAAGGGCTTCCGTGAAAGCACTTTGTGGCGGTAGTTTCCTGTCAACCGAACACCCATTAGGACACAGAAAGGGGTTTGTGATAATTTAATGGGACAATATAAATAGACCTGCTTTGTGAACTGTGAACTACCACTGTGTCACCAGCATTATCAGAGTGGGTTAGCTCAGTAGGCAGTGGAAGATGTGGGCTAATTTCATGGATCATTGCGTGCACAAGAAAACACAAAGGCCTGCAAATGGATCTGCCATCAGGGGAGATAAGATATGAAGAGAGAAAAGGCCTCTGAAATCCCTTAATAATGCCTTAACAGGAAGAAGTCATTACAGTGGAGAATATGGATGAAAACGATTGGAGGGGGTGAGGGTGAGTGGGCGTCATGAAGTTGAGGAGAGAATCTTAGGAAACTAAGGGTGGAAAGTAGAAGATGCTACAGAGACCAAGGAAGGCCAAGACTGGAAGGCAGCCAGGCCCAGCATTTTATAGGCAGGAGAAGAATGGACTAGAAATCAATTCATGGGGGAGGTTGAAGTGTATTTTGGTAACTATCTGGGGTTCAAGCAGAGGAAAGTGGCAAACTTCAAATCCATTTAACCTGGAAGTCTGAGAATGGAGAACAGTTTTGAAACAAATGAAAAGAAGGAAACTGTTAGGTCAAGTGGAAGTCTTTTTGTAGATAGTGGTATGATCATGTTGAGAGGCAATGAGAAAGAGAGGTATTAGAAGAAAAATAGTCTAGAAACTTTTGTATGGTGAAATTTTTACTTTTTTCCTCTTCTTGTCCTCTAGTCCTATTCAGGTGACTACCAGGAAGATAAGTTTGGATTAGATTTTCCTATTGGCTAAATTGGGTGGTTTGGTTGTAGTATGGTCATGGTGTTCAAGCATGTGCAGTGAGCTGCCTTAGTTTTCACTTGTGGCTTAATAATGCGACAAGAGTACTTTGTTCTGTGATGCATTCATTATAAGATACAAGATTTGTTCTATACCATACTACTTTAAATGCAATTGCCTATTGCATAACATTTTAAGGTTACAGAAGAACTTTTCTCTCCCCAATAATTTAAGCATTGCCTCTATCACTTAATGAAGCCTAGTCAGTTAAATGTTTGAAATATATTGATATAAATCTTTAAAATATGGCTGTCTTATTATACTCTTTGACAATTAACATGGTTTCTAGAAACAAGACCCAGATAAGCAGAACTATAGCAACAGTACTCCTGAACCACATATACCCTTGGCTAGAGAGCTATCCAAGGACATTATCCAACATACCAGCTGTGCCACTGGATTGAAGAATGAAGAGGAAGGGCCCTGGATGGACGGTGGCAGTGGTGAACCAGCAAATGCTTGTTGCAAGAGCGTGCCGCCTGCGACTAGGAGTTATTTCACTGGCCAGGAGTCTGGTAAAGTATTTCTTTAACATCACCATATAGCTGTCCAAAAGTTCAACATGTGTATCTTGAGCTATATGTCATTTCCCACGCTAAAACATGACTAAAAGAAGAAAATTTTCTAAAAGCACCTGGGTAGGGAGGCAGGGCTTCCTAATTTAGAGGATTATTACATTCCTAAAAGGCTTTCTGGACTCTGCTGTCTCCAGAAAAAGAAGTAGCTTGCTGTACACAAAAATTCATGGTGACCCTATTTTTGGGAATGGGGGCTGTCTGTAAGGGAATGTTTTCTAAGTAACAACAAAGCAATTTATTGTATTAGATCTTATTACTTTGTCAAACTGAAGAGGTAGCTGAAAGTAGCAGCATGCTTCTCCAAGGCCAGAAGGTGCATGTTTGGCTTTTGCTGTGGATCAGTGTTATGCAATTGAAGCCCCTTATTCTGTCCTGCCGTGTAATAAATGCCATTGAAATAAGAAAGGCTTGCAGGAAACTGAACCACGCATAGTGTTATTGCTCACTGTGACATAAGGGAAAACGGGAGCCATGGAGACACAAAAGATAGTGGGAGGTAGTTTAGAATAGCAGTTGCTTGTAGGCTCTGAAGGCAGACCACAGGGGTTCCAACCCTGGTTTTATCATTTGCTAGATATGTGACTTTGAATGAATTACTGAACCTCTCTGCTCCTCAGTTTCTTCATCTATAGAAGGGAAATGATTACAGCACCTCCCACACACATAACAGAGAGTTAAGTAGTATCACATCTGTAAAATATCTAGTATATTTCTCAGCATGTCAGGGTTCACTTGGACAGATATTAAATTGAACTGACTCACCACGAGCAGTCAGTATTGACTGGGGAACACTAATAAGTCACAGGCACACCAGCTCTGCAGTTTTTTGGGGTTTTTTCAAATGGCTTTCACCAATGATTTACTCTGGTTGGAGTCCTTTATAGGCTTCCTGTTTACTCACCTGTCAGTCTTGGCTTTCATTTCTGATTTGGTGGCTGTTTTCCAAGGGTTTCATTTTAATATATGGTTGGTCAGGATTTTCATATTCTGATCACTTGATATATAAAATTTCTTTTGCCAGTCAACACTTAGGAGACAATTCTTGTTATTACCACAAGGGGGCACACACTGCTGAGACCAAAAGAAAGTGGAAAAAAAAAAAAATGACCTGAGATGGACCTTGACCCTGGTTCCATTAGTAACGATGCTTCTACAAATGTTCCATAGTGTTAATGCATGCTAGATATTAAAGTGAGAATGAGACTTGTATTAAATCCTCGTTGATCCTCGTTAGGTAAGTATCGTGTCACCTCATACTTTCCTGCCAGTTCTGTTGGGCCTGGGCTGGGGCAGAAGGCTGTAGTGAGTATATGTGGTAGGCCTTTATTTTCCCAGGATCATAGAGCCTGGGAGAGACCACTTATAGTACATAGACTTCAAGTGCTGGCTAATATTTTCTATGAAGAACAGAAAAGTTCTCACTAGACCTTTCTTCAAAAAAGGGGAACAAGGCACTTCATCTTTAGCCTTTTTAGCACACCAAGTTTGTTAGTTGAAAGTGTGTTTTAATTCTAAGGCTGACCACATAATCACATACTTGAAATTTCTATATATCAGATATATGACTTCTGTCAAGGGTGACTTTCAAGGCTTGGTTATAAAGAGTGTTTTTTTTTTTAATAGAAGCATTCTAAGATTTCATCAGTTTTGTCAAGTATTTCTCATCTTTTAACATTTAAATCACTCATCTTTAAAATAAAAATTCTGAAATAATAACCTGTAGAAAGGCTGCAAGTATAATACAAAGAACTTCTTTTCCCTGGCCTATTTGGGAGTGAGTTGCCAACCTGACAACCCTATCCCTTCTTACTGTTTTATTTATTTGGGGGCAGTTTTGCTAAGTTGCTTGAATTTGGGACCCTCCTGCCTCAGATTTCAGGAGTTCTGGGATTATAGGCATGTACTCTTATCATACAGAATTGCCTCATTATTTTCTATGAACAGCAACTTTCTCCTAACATAAGCACAGCAAAACCACCAAAATTTGTAAATCAGTGTCAATGTATTTTTGTCATGCAGCTTTCAGGCCCCACTCAAGTTTCACCAGTGGTCTTAATAATGTCCTTTCTGAGCAAAAAGACCTAGCTGAGAATCATGAATTACATTTCATTGCCATATCTTTGTGGTGTCTTTTATTACTGGCTTCTCTGTGACTTTTAAGAACTTGGCACTTTTAAAGATTCTGGACTGGTTGTTTTGTAGAATATTTATTCATGTGCCTTATCTGTTTCCTCCTGATTAGATTCAGACTTTCATTTTTGGCAGAAGTCACAGAAGTGATGCTGTTTTTCTATTCATTGAATCCTATCAGATGGGGAAGATTTCAATTTGTTCCTCCTTGGACTCCACAAGAATCCTTTCCTTGGGTCCGATAGTCTATCCAGGCCACCACTTATCCCAAGTTGGGTGTCTTCTGTTTCAGCTAGGACCTAGATACCTCACTTTAGATAAACATGGGTCCCCTTTACTTTACTGTAACCCAACTAGTGGAATTAATTCTCAATTTTTCAAAAAGCAGAAAGAGAAATCAATTCTTCTATGAAGTATCTGCTGTTCAGCCATCTCTATGTTAGTTTTCTCTGTTAACATATTTAACTCTGAGATCTTTGTTTACATGTGAGTTGAGCAATTATTCAGCAACACTTTTACTGACTTTATAAAATGCTTGCATCCCAAAGATGAGTTCATCCCAAATAGGTGACTACTTGGAGTTTCAGAATTCTGGCCAGATACCCTAACTGGAGATCCTTCAGGGTTCTTACAGCTGACATAGCTCAGCTGAGATGCCCACATACAGAAGGGCTTAGGATTTGGAACATAGCCTCTCTCCAGCTTCAGTGTACTGGAGAGGGACCCTTGTTCCTACCCTCTGAGAGGATCTGGGGAGTAAAATTCTGGTGCTGGAAAGGATGGGCTTTTTGGGGGGGATTTGGAAAAGGAATCAGAACAGACTGTGCAAGACCAACAACGTTCCTCAGAGGCAGAATCCTGAATGAAGTACACAAGAATCTGCTGATGGCAGGGATGGAGATTAACTTCTGGGGCCAGAGCAGCAAGTGTGAGACCAAAGCAACAAGTATGTGTCCAGCCAGAGAGGGCCGTGACCTACATGAACTTATGCATCTGGTCTTGGTAGGGATAAGATTAGTTTCAAGGTCTAGGAGAAGTTGTTTAAAATTAGAGTTTAAGGCCTATGTATTTTGTCTTATTGGGCTTGAGCGTTGCTGAGTGCCAAGGTGCTAGCTGTCCTGTCATTTGTTTATTCCTTCTCTTTGTCACTTATGACCATAGCTTGGGCATTTCATATCATACATGGCTCTGAATTGTATTCAGAGTTGCCTCACGTGGAGGCTACATCTCTGAACAAAGATCAGCTTCAGTTTTGGAGTGAGGTGCCAAGAGTGATGGGATTGGAGGGGCTTTGGAAAGGGATATGTAGATGAACGTAAGTGTTGGTTATGGGGTCTAAATGTGTTGCTAGCATGAACTTCTAAATTTTGTTATATGGTAGGAAAGCTCCTTGAAAGAGCTTTTGAGAGAAGGCCTGTGTGGGTGGTAGATTTTTACCACTCTTCAGGTTGTGATAATCTAAAATTAATCCTTGGGGATATTTTTTAAAATAGCATTTCTGAAGTGAGTTGGTCTGACTAGTTGGGAGGAATTTGTTAGCACCTTGGGGAATCCTTAAAGCAGTGATGGCGAACCTTTCAGAGCTTTCAATGATAAAACAGCCTGCTGTGGCACACGTGCCATGGCTTCACCACCACTGCCATAAAGCCTCTCTTGTCTTCCATCTTACCTTTCCCCCAGGTGGCTGTAGGAGATTGTAGCAATTCTACCACAGTATCATGATATATCTAAGTTTCTGCATGGAAAGTAGGTTTCTGCTCCAGAGTTCACTGGTATCTGATGGGGCATAGTCTGATGAGGTTAATCAGCAGAGTAGTTTGGAAAATTGACTTTCTCCCCCGACCCCCTTTTTTATGGGAATGGGGATTGAACCCAGAGCGTTTGCATTCAGTTATATTCCAGTCTCTGTTTAATATTTTATTTTGGGACAGGGTCTTCCTAAGTCGCTTAGGCTGGACTTGAATTTGGGCTCCTCCTCCCTCAGATTCCCATTGTGCTAGGATTATAGCCGTGCATTCCCACACCTGGGCATGGGTGCTCTATGTTTGATGCAGTCCCCACTACTCCCTATTGAATGCATTAGCTCATCTCACCTGTTTAGTTAATTGACTGCATAGTCATGGACTCAGGGCACTGGGGCTCAGTGAAGGCTGTCCCAGTAACTGCATTTAGCTCCAGGGTTTCACTGTTTTCTAAGTTTTGGTCTCTAGGAACTGGTACTTTGGTGGCATATATGCTTATAGTCTTCGGGGCTTTGGAAAGGTGAGCTATATGGCACATGCAGAACAGGAAAGGTTTACCTTAGGGATGATGGCGACTCCAGTGGGACATTCCCTGGTTGGAGCTATTTTAGGGTGAAGCTCAACCAGACACCCGAAGAAAATATTGAAGGCTAAATTTGATCAAGATAAGAAGAAAATGTTACAAGGGACAAAATTCTTATTTGTTAATAAATACAAGAAAGGAAAATTCCTTTTTATTGAATTTTAATTTTTCTGTGGGCTCAGAAGGTTGACTAGATCATGAATGCAGGCTCATGTTTTCTGTGTGTGTGTGTGTGTGTGTGTACACATGTGTGAATTTTATGTTTTTCTTTTTTTGAAATTGGGGATTGAACTAGGGACCTTGTGCTTGTGAGGTAGCCAGTGGCACCACTGAGCTAAATCCTGGCCCAATTTTCTGTTTTGTTTTTGACAAGAACTGTACCTGGTATATGGCCTAACCTTGTCAGTAAGCAGAACGTTATTTAGGAAATGTGATAATTCCTTCTTTTTCTACTTCCATATAGGTAATTAGGACTTGAGGTAAAATTAATTGCAGTAAGTTTCCCCTATTCCACTGAACTTCCAAAGGAGTATTTATATGAGATTTTATAAAGGACCTTACAAAAGGTCATCACATTGGCCCTAAGTGAATACAGAGGATAAAGGCAGAATTGAATGGAAGAGTCTCTCAGAGGTACTGACTAGACTTCTCTGATGAGTTGTTCTGTTTTGAGACAGTTGGTTCTTTGTTTTACTCAGAAACCAACAAATTCTATGACAACATAAGCTAAGCCTATTTCCCAAGGAAGATCAGTGAACCTTACCACCTTTGACATCCTAATTCCTGGGTTATCCAGAACAGATATGGGATGAAATGGACTTCAAGGTCAAAGTATCAATGACAGATTTTCTAGTGGTGGAGGGTAAAGGGATTATAAGTAGAATTTCATTATTAGGGGCTTTTCCAGTCTTCTGTAGGTCACTGTCTTCCTCTTGGAAAGCTTTTCTCCCTCATATCCTTCTAGTTACTCATAGGGAAGATAAGCCTGAGGCATTTGCTTCATTGGAGTGGTCTGAGGTAAGGAGACAAGTGATAGAGTTCCCAAGCATCATGTGATCAGGACCAGGACCCCAAGGGTGAGGCTGCAGCTACATTGGGTGGCCAGTGTTCCTCTCATTATAAGGAGCTCTATTTACTGGAAGATTGTCTACATAGCTCTCCCTCTAGATGTGTGAAAGTGAGGCTTTTGGCCACAGTGCCAGATTCTAGTTTCTGGGTCCTGGATGAACTTTCTTTCTTTTTATTGAGTTTATTGGTACAATCTAGGTGTATACAATACAGTTACATTCATTACTGGGATCCTGTACCTTCACATGACAGGTCTTGGTTTTCATTTTTTCCCCTTGTCCCTGCCCTCCCTTCACCCCCTCCTCCCCTCCCCATTTACAAACGCTTTATTTCCATTTTTTCATTTTCTCACATTTTTTTTTCTTTTCCCTTATTCCCTTTCCCCTACCCTTCCCACTTTCCCTACACCTTTAGCCCTTTTCTTCCCATTTCACACTACTGGATGAACTTTCAAACAGCTGAGGCAGGACTTGCAGATGTGAGAAAATGTAATCTTACTTTCTGCACTGCAATCCACTGCTTTTTGAGATCTCTGTGAGATCCTTGTGATGCAGATGGTGGGAAAAGTCTTTATCTTGCGCCAGTAAGCTCCATCATCTTCAAATAAATGTTGAGTCCCTGGGCAGAGAAAAGAAGGCATAGCAAAACCATGGACATTCACAGTGGACAGCAGCACCCCTCAAGTCAGAGAAGCACCCCATAAGACAGAGGAGACAGAGGAGAGCAGCTGGGGTCCTCTTCTAACCTCCACAGTGTATACCCTTTACTATTCCTAGAGATGGAGAAGGGGTTGGGGAAATTGCTTAAGAAGAAAGAAGCTTTGGGGCCGGGGATTTAGCTCGGTGATTCTGGCTCCTGCCTCGCAAGCACAAGGGCTGGAGTTCAATCCCTGGTACCAAAAAAGTATTCTGACAAAGACAACAATCATAAATTTAATCATGTTTTCCATCTAACTCTTAAAAATAAAATAAAATAATGATCTAAAATTATTACAGGAATTTGGCCACTGCCTCTCAAGTGATAAGAGCCCAAGTTCAATACCCAGTACAAAAAATAAAAAACAAAAAACAAACAAAAATGTATTAGACTATAGGCTGATAGAATGCAATTACTCTTTAACCCTTTAGGTAAATACAACAATTATGAACTTGTCTCTTAGGGTTAAAACATTCCAGATATATAGTTTTTTTTTTAAATAAAACTTCTAAAGTTAAACATGAGCAATAACAAAAATCTGATCACAGGAATATTGGCAAGACTCAAGATCAGAAGAAAAAAGAGGTGTTCGTATGTATTTTGTGCCAGATACTTCCTGGCACTTTATACATAGTAATCCATTTAATTTTTACTAAATTCTATCCAGATTACCTGTGAGAAATCTAAGGAACAGAAATAACTTACCCAATATCCAACAAGTCAGCGAAGTGGTGGGGTTGCGGATCACATTCTTCTAACCATATTTATTGTAATGAAACCCAACCTTGAAATATAAATGAGACTAGACCAGAAAATAAAAATGTAAAGCTAAATCAGAGCAGTTGATGACAGTGCTTTTTTCCTTCCACAGTGATATACTTACTGGGTTCCAATAATTGCCTATGAGTTGCCTATGATTTGAGTTTTTATTTTTTAGTCATGAATTTGCTTATACTTTCAAGTTGAGATTTGAGAAAATGGAGAAAATACATGATGGGCTCACCACCCTGGTAAAGCCTCCACTGAGAATCTACTAACAAGCTTCCAATTTTTTTTCCCTATCCAACTAGGTTTAAAAATCATCATAGGATATATCAATCACATTGTGTGTCCTGTTTTTTATTTTTATGTCATGGTCATGTTCAAATAACTAGTCAGTTGAGACAGTTTTCTATTTGTTGGACATGTAAGTTTCCTTCACTTTTAATTCCTATAAACACAGCAAGTAATTTGATGCATTTATCCCCTTCTGTTTTTTTTTTTCCAGGATAGAGTTGCAGAAGTAGAATTCCTGGATCACAGGTAAGTACATTCTATGTCTTGATGCATAATGCCCACTTATAATACCCAGCAATGTACAAGTGCCAATTCTGTCATGTTTTTACCAATAATGAGACCTAGTAAAACTGATGAAATATCATATATTTAAATTTAATATATTTAACTATTAAGTTAAATCTTTTACTTTTTATTTGCCCTGGGGATTAAAGCCAGGTCCTCACACATGCTGAGCATGTCTTCTCCCTTTGACTGACATTTCTTTAGTATTCTTTTTTTTTCTTTTTATTGAGTTTATTGGTACATTTTAGGTACACAGTACAGTCACATTCACTGTTGGGATCTTGTACATGACAAGTCTTAGTTCTCATTTTTCCCCTTCCCCTGCCCTCCCTTCACCCCCTCCTCCCCTCTCCATTTATAAATACTTTATTTCCATTTTTTCATTTTCTCATATTTTTTTCTTTTCCCTTATTCCTTTCCCCCTACCCTTCCCACTTTCCCTACACCTTTAGCCCTTTTCTTCCTATTTCATACTGTTAATTATCTCATTAGGATTAGTTGTATTTCTTTTGTAAACTGTCTAGTCTGATCCTTTAGTCATTTATAATGAACTTTCTTTTCTGTTTCAGACTCCTACAAATGCACAAGTGAAAAGGCCCGGGGTTACCTTCTAGAAACAAATAAACACAGTCTTGAAAGTTTTAGAGTCTTTGATTTTTTTTTGTGGGGGGTAAAGAAATTTGTGATAACTCAAATTTAACAAATAACCTTTAAATTGCCTTGCCTGTCATAAATTCATTCATCTCTACTTTCTACTTCATGCTTTGAAGAAATAGGTTTTAGGGCCTTCCACTTTTGCTCTTAACCTCTCAAGAGATTTCCATTCTTATCTTCTTAGAAGCTATATCTAATATTTCTTTTTCCAGTTCCTTTGAATCACTTTGAGGAATAAGTGATTGCTACCTTTCCCATTGCCTTAGTTACTTTGCTCTCATTGCTAAGACAAAATACTTGATATTCAAAAGTTAAAGGAGGAAAGGTTTATTTAGCTAACAGTTCATAAAAGTTTCAGTCCATAGTTGGCTGGCTCCAAGACAGAGGGGCATCTTAGGAAAACAGCATTTCAAGATTCCCACATATTACCAAAAGCAACAAGAGATTTTAACCCCTTTAATCTTATCCAGACTACTTAGGGTGGGTAGCACTCACACCCTTAATCCTAGTGCCCTTAAACCTAGCACTGCACTATAAATTAATTCCAGCATCACATTCTAGATCCAGCCACCTGTGAAGAAGCCCCATCTGTGACTACATGAGGCTTTTGGCGATCATAACACCTAGGGATTTGATCTTCTTTCTGTGGTACTGGGTATCGAATATACAGAACACTGAGCTTCATCTTTATTTAATTTTAATTTTGAAATGATGTCATGCTAAGTTGTTTTTCCTAGGCTTGAATTTGCAATCTTCGTGCATTAGCCTCCCAAGTAGCTGGAATTACAGGCATGTGCTGCTGCACCCAGCTGGAAATTAATCTTTAACAGGGGTGCAAGATGAGTGTGGAGTTCAAAGTGTTGGCCCACAACAAAGAATTTTCAGGGTTTTCAAAATGCCCAGTTGAAAAGAAAAAAAAAGAATTCCGGGTGTGGTGGTGCATGCTTGTAATCCCAGCACTCTCGAGGCTGAGGCAGGAGGATCGCTGTGAGTTCAAGACCAGCCTGGGCTACATAGTGAGTTCCAGGTCAGTCTCAACTACATAGTGAGACCCTGTCTCAAAAAACAAACAAAAAAACCCCAAAATACCCAGCTGAAAACAAATGGCATCTTTGTCCAAGTTAGACACTTGATCATCTGGAACACAACAGTCTTCATCTTTATAACAACTGCTCACAAAGACCTGACGCTTAATCTATATTGGGTCCTGTTCTCTGCATTTTGAGCATGTTAACTTGTTACAATAATCCTATAAGATAGTAGTCATGGTTATTTCTCTTTTACAAGATGGGAAAACTGAGGCCTAGGTACTATGTGAGCTCAGCTGCAGTCACAAATACCACACACGAGGGTGGCCTAGCAACACATTTGTTTCTCCCAGTTTTAAAAGCTGAGGAATCCAAGATCAAGCTCTGGCACAGCTGTTTCTGTTGAGGGCTCTCTTGCTAGCTTGGAGAAAGCTGCCTTCTCACTGTGTCCTCATGGCAGAAAGTTAGCTAGTTCTAGTCTCTTCATCCTCTTCAGTGACTTGCAGAACTTTAAAGGTGCTGGCAGTGGGACTTGTTTCTGTTGAATGTGGCTTTGTATGCATTTGGGTTTCAAGTTAAGGATTAAAAAACCCTTTCTGATGTGAGTTGTACACCCACTAAGTGGCATTCATAGGAACTGGAGTAGGAACTGTGTGCTGGTTCTAGCTGCCTAAGAGTCATTAGGTACTGAGAAAGTCATGGTCCCAGGATCAAAAACTCTGGTCTGTGTGAGACATTGGTCCCAAGTTTCAAGACAGATCCTAAGAGCATTAACACCCTCTAGGAATAACAACTCCAGAATCCTGTGGGACAAGTGGTAGTAATGGAAAAAAAATCTCCAATCTGGGATCTTGTGTATTGCAAAGGACTGGGAGAAGAAACTAAGGTACTTAGTGTTTCTGTCCATGTGAGACTCTCCCAGAGGAATACATATCACCAGGCTTTATGGTTTAGCTCTGAAATGTCCTCCAAAGACTTGTGTATTGAATGCCTGGTCCCCAAGCCCTAGTGCTATTGGGAAATGGTGGAAACCTTAGCAGGTAAGACTTAGTGTTTGGTTTGTTTTTTGTACCGAGGATTGAACTCAGGACCTTGTGCTTGCTTGCAAGATGGGCAGCGGAACCACTGAGCTAAATTCCTGGCCCAACAGGTAAGACTTAGATAGAGAACTTGGAGCACATTAGAAGTGTGTCCTTGAAGGTGATGTTGGAACCCTGGCCCTTTTCTTTCTCTCTTTTCTGCTTCTTGGCTGGCATGAAGTGAACACTTTTCTTCTGTCAAGCTCTTCCACTATGATGTTTCTGCCTCACTACAAGCCTAAAAGCAGTGGAGCCAGCTGACCATGGACCAAATCCTCTGAAACTGTGAAACAAAGCAAACTTTTACTCCTCTGAGTTGTTTTTCTGAGGTATTTTATCACGGGGATGGAAAGCTAGCTAACACACCAGGCTCACTACAGTTCTAGCCACAGTCTTGAGGTCTGGACCTAATGTGAAGGTGGGAATTGGAGTCTGGGCTTCTCTACCCTCGTGCTTGTTCCCAGGGGTGGCCAGGGTTGCAATGAGTTATTGTCTCCTTCAGTAATAAGATGATCATTGGCACTTTCCCATTTTGTCTGTATGGTAACCCTCTGTGGTGAGTAATACTAATTTCTAGGGCTGCCACCATAAAGTGATGTCAAAAGCAGAGAATGTGCTGTTTCACAGTTCCAGAGTCTAGACCTCTGAGATCATGATGCCAGCAGGTATGGTTTCTTTGGTGGCTTCTCTGTTTGGCTTGTAAGTGGCAACCTTCATGTTTCTGTGTTGTCACGTGGTCTTCTATATGTACAGTTTGTGTACAAATTTCTTCTTCTCTCTCATCCACATCTCCCACATACCCTTCCTCTCTTTTTTATGGTGTGAGGACCAAGTTTCCAGGTCGCAGTGGGCTCCATGCCCCTTACCCAGAATAAAGTAAATGCAAAAGTTCCTTTCTGAAAAATTCCATTCTATGTGGCAGTTTCTCTGTGCTTTGACAATTGCAGTTCCTCTTTTAGGGCATCTCCACCCTGCTTCTGTTCCTCTTTTTAAGATAAGCTTCTTTTTGTAATTCAATTAATATACAAATTAAGTATAGTTGATATAAAAGCTTCTTTTTGGGTGATCTAATCAATATAGGAATTAGTTATAGCTGATATAGGAATTAATTATAGTGGACATAGATAATCATATATCTTAGCAAAAGTCAGAAAAGAGGAATTAATTGTTTAAAGGCTTTAGGTAATTTTCCAATACGTACCCTCCCAGGACCCCATAATAAATTTGCAAATGTAAGCATTAGGTCATGTTCCAATGTGCCCTCCCCATGCCCCTTGATGATAAGGGAAAACTAAAAATAGTAACAAAAAAATCCTATATAAACTTGGTTCAAAGTTGGATCTGGGCTCTCAGTCTGAAGCTGCTGTAACGGTGACACCTGAGAGTCCAAGCTCGAGCTTGCAATAAACTCCTCTTGTAATTGCATCGGACATGACTCCTTGGTGGTCTTTGGGGACTTCACGACTTGGGCACAACAGTGGCACTTTGCACTGAGCTACATACCCAGAAACTTTTACAAAACTTTTTATTTTGAGACAAGATTTGCTGTCACTAAGTTGGCTGGGCTTGAACTTGTGATCTTCCTGCCTCAGCATTCCTAGAGTGCTGGGATTACAGGTGTATGAGCCATGCCCAACATATGTCCTCTTCAGTACAGCAGTCACATTGGAACAAGGCTAACACATATGATCTCCTAGTATCTTCATTATATCTTGATGGTAGCTCATTCTACAATCACATTCTGCGGTACTGAGGGTCATGATTTCAACATGCAAATACTAAGAAAGGATACAGTAAGTCAGGCATGATGGTGCACACCTGTAATTCCAGCACTCGGGAGGCTCAGGCAGGAGGATCCCTATGAGTTCAAGATAAGCCTGGGCTATATAGTGAGTTCCAGGTCAGTCTCATCTACATAGTGAGACCCTGCCTCAAAAAAAAAAAAAAAAAAAAAAGAGAGAGAGAGGATAAAAATATATCACTGTTATCTTTCCTTTATAGCTGGGAAGAAACCAAGGATCATGGGCTTTCCTGAGCCGGTATAGTCCCTAGTTCAATTTTCTTTCCAGGTTGGGCCTCATCCATGGGATGGCTGAACTTTCATTTGTTGAGAAATTTGTCTTCAGAAGATCTTGACTTATAGTTTTTCTTTGGTCTTTCTTTGAAAGCACTTTTCCCCCTCTCTTTAGTTTTAAATTGTCTTCCCCTACGAGTTTATCATGATCTGAGTATAAGTAGGAGGCAAGCCTCAGAACAACCTGTCAGAGAATGGGAAAGTGATATAGGAGAGAAAAGCTCACAGAAGGTGCTTGGCTGAGAAAGTACTGCTGTGGATAGCTGGGGCTCAGTCCTACTAAGACACTCTGGGAGATCATATAAAACCCACCTCAGAGGCATCTTCTCAACACCCAGGGTGAGCAAGCTAAGCTACTGCTCCACTAACTCTCCATAGTCATGGGTTGAGGGCTGATCCCAGGGGGTGTCAATTCCTCCAGCGTTTCCAGCATTCCCCACTGATAATCATGCCTAGGCCTGGAGAGCACTAAAGCTAGCTATCTATGATGTGTAACAAAGTACTCCAAACTTAGAACAATGAATTTATTATCACACAGTTTCCGGGGATCAGGAGATAAATCTGGACATTATTTAACTGGTCCTCTGCTTCAAGGTCTCTCAAAGTATTGGTCAGGGCTGGGGTATGAGCTGAAGAGTTTGCTGGGGAAGGATCTACCTATAAGCTCAGGAGGCTGCTAGCAGAAATCATTTCCTCTGGGACTATTGGCTAGACACCACCTTCATTTCTTTGCCCCATGGTTCTCCCCAGTATGGCTACTTAGAAGCAAGCAAAGAAGAAGGCAGTCGAGGGTCTGTTAGCACAAGAAAGTGTCTTACATAATGTAACCACAGAAATGACATCATGTTGGTTATTTCCCACAGGTTACAGGTGAGTCATGGTTGCACCTAAGGGGAGTGAGTTTTACAGGGTGTGGATGCCAGGAGGTGGAGGCCCTTGGGGCTATCTTAGGGGCTGCCCTTCAAGAAACCATGTGTCCCCTGCACAGCCATATTCTCTCTCTACAAGCTATTTCTGTTCAGAAACATTTTTGTCAGAAGACCCAGAGACAAATAACTTTATGGAAAATTAATCAGAAAATCTAATTTTATGCTTTGTCTGGCCACAGGGGCTCACTAGCTGTGTTCCAGTTTGGGTCTGGGTTCTCCTGGGCTTTTCTGTCCCAAGTTGAGGGCCAGGCACCCAGCACTTGCTGCAGTGGGAACCTAAAAGTTTTGTGGACTGCTGATGGCTGCAGCCAACAAACTTTGTGCTTCCTTTTGTTGGATTTCAAAGTAAATTTGGAATTGAGTGAGGATTTTTAGACATTCAGTGAAAAATTTACATAGTCTATTAATGTGGAACTTAATGACATCTTGTTTCCTGTCTGTCATTGGAACAATTCCTGGAGCCGCTATTTTCAGCACTCTTATGATCAGATGGAGTCTAGGAGATGTGGAACACATTTTCTTTAAAAAAAAAAAAAATCCTCGATGGCCGAAGGAACAGAATCACTTTTTGGGAGGAGGAAAGTGTATCTGCTTTGTCAGTGTCTTATAAAAATTCTACTTTTAAATTTCTAATTTTTTTGTCTCTTTTGGAAAACCATGACACATGGTAGTTAAGGCTTATGAGCTCTGACAGCCAGATTGCTTGAGTTTGAATACTGTCTTAGCCAACTATTAGCTGTGCGGCCTCCAACAAATGATTCAATGTCTCTGTGTCCGTTTCTTCATCTGTAAAATTCGGATATCATTCTCATAGTTTCTTGTGAGGGTTAATTGAGTAAGAATACACACTAAAGGCCAACGAGGGTTTGCTGTCATTAGTTTGAAAAACTAACACACTAGGAAGAGAAATTTGAGTGCTAGAGAGGATTTAAGAAACCTGCCATTTCTGGGCTGAACAAAAATTCTCATCATTTTGGGACTCTGTTTAGGGATGCAGCCCACTTTCCCTGTGATTTCTGTGCTTTGGAGACTAGGTTTCCAGATTCCTAGATCTCATCACCCATTGGCCTCAGTAGTGTCACAGTCCCCAGGAATGTCTCAGGAAACACATCACTTCAGGGCTTCCTTGGCCCACAGACCTTGCATATGGAGACCAGGGACAAGGAGAGGGTCTCACTGTCCATGTCAGAGCGCGCTGTGATTCTCCTAGTGGGCTTCCAAAGGAGAATGGGGAGAGGGCTTGTGACCTGTGTGCTTCTGAAGAAGGAATGGGAGAAGCTCCAAGTGAGGAAAGAGGGTGCAGGGACCAGGTATGTGGGGGCTGAGGTGGAGGTGGGGGAAGTGAAGGAGAAATTAATCCTGGCGGGGTTGCTGTGATGGCAGTATTTCTTTTCTAAATCAGTAGTAGCCCACTTAGAGTGGAAATTCTTAAATGCCAGTGTGCAAAAAAATCACTAGGGCTGTTTGTTAAAAACAGCAACTCTTGAGTCCCCCTGCAGAGACTATTGTGGGGAGAGCTGTGGTAACCTGGAAAGTAGAAGAAGCAAAAGCGCTGAGGTCTGGCTTGGGATCAGTAGCCAGAATCTTTTCTGGCTTTGAGTGAGTGTTGATTTGGGGGAGCTCTGGGGGCCTGTTAGAGACCATGGAGGTATAAAGTCGCAAGCTGTCCCCTGATGCTTACTACTTGTACAGGCCAGGCTTGGAGAAATACTGTACACAGTGCTATAGATGGCCTAGGCAGTGCCAGCACAGGGAGTTAAGTGGCTTCATCAAGGTCACAAGACTGACGAATGGTAGGTCTGAGAATTCCAGGTCCACGCTCACTACACACCTGTTCCCTGTGGTGTGCGAGGCTGGGGATGGGGAGAGGCCTAGGAGGTTGCAATGAGTATTGGGAAGGCTGGGCAGTAAAAAAAAAAAAATTGTCCTACTGGAAAAGAGTCAGAATTAGAATAAAGATAATTTTGGTTTAGAATTCCTCAACAAAATGCTATGAATATTCCTAAAAGAGTTAACATCCAAAGGCAGGGTACCTTTCCCACACCAAAAATATTTTCCAAGTGTAAGCCTTTTTTAAATTTTAAATTTAAGTTTTTAAATTTAACCTAGCGAAGAGACAGCCCCTTAGGGAGCCGCCGCTTTCCTTTTCTTCCTAGTAACAGGGTGCTCCTCTGGGCGCT